CTCATCTGACCATCAATGTAGGGGGGTAACATCTCAACTGACCAACAATGTAAGGAGGCATGTCTCATCTGACCATCAATGTAGGGGGGGAACATCTCAACTGACCAACAATGTAAGGAGGCATGTCTCATCTGACCATCAATGTAGGGGGGAACATCTCAACTGACCATCAATGTAAGGAGGCATGTCTCATCTGACCATCAACGTAGGGGGTGGGGGCATCTCAACTGACCAACAATGTAAGGAGGCATGTCTTCTCGGACCACTAATTTAGGGGGGAATATCTCATCTGATCATCAATGTAAGGAGTCATGTCTCATCTGACCATCAATGTAGGGGGGAACATCTCAACTGACCATCAATTTAAGGAGGCATGTCTTCTCGGACCACCAATTTAGGGGGGAATATCTCATCTGATCATCAATGTAAGGAGTCATGTCTCATCTGACCATCAATGTAGGGGGGAACATCTCAACTGGCCATCAATGTAAGGAGGCACATCTCATCTGACCATCAATGTAGGGGGGAACATCTCAACTGGCCATCAATGTAAGGAGGCACATCTCATCTGACCATCAATGTAGGGGGTAACATCTCAACTGGCTATTAATGTAGGGAGGCATGGCTCATCTGACCATCAATGTAGGGGGGAACATCTCTTCTGATCATCAATGTAAGGAGGCATGCTTCATCTGACCAACAATGTAGGGGTGAAGTCTCAACTGACCAGCAATGTAAGGAGGCATGTCTCATCTGACCAGCAATAAGAGTGGGCGCCTCTCATCTGACCAGCAATAAGAGTGGGCGCCTCTCATTTGACCAGCAATAAGAGTGGGCGCCTCTCATCTGACCAGCAATAAGAGTGGGCGCCTTTCATCTAACCAGCAATAAGAGTGGGCGCCTTTCATCTGACCAGCAATAAAAGTGGGCGCCTCTCATCTGACCAGCAATAAGAGTGGGCGCCTTTCATCTGACCAGCAATAAGAGTGGGCACCTTTCATCTGACCAGCAATAAGAGTGGGCGCCTCTAGTCTGCTGCATGTCCCGAGTTCTAGGAATGTGCTCTGAGGTGACCATGCTGGCCGCCACTGACCGCAGCTGTCCGCCTTGTGAACTGCCTCCTAGTTGGTGTGTACACTGAGCTGCAGCAGGTTGCTGGCTCCTGTGTTCATGCAAGCAGCATTCGGTGAAGTTTGTATTGGTGTTATAAAGAAACAATTGTATTATATAAATACAAATACATATAATATTATTGTATTATGATAAAACATTTGTAAAAGACATATAACTGACACCAGTGCATTTTTGACATGTTTAGGAGGCATTTGTACAGTGCTGTCTAATCCCCCATTCACACTTTCTGTGCTTTGGCGGTGTATGTTCACACAACGTGGTCAAAACGTGTGATGTGATTGCGGTGCCATTACTTAGCACCTACTTAGTAATGGCACCTGAAACTTGGCAGGCAAAGCGCGCAATAAACATGCAAAAACATGTATTTCCCAGCTCAAAGTGCTGCATGAGCTTCTTTGCCACGTTTGTCACGCATGAGGCAGCGGAACCTGCAATCATGCGTGCCACAGGTGTGAACGGAGGCTTAAGCTCTGAGAACACCTTGTTCAAATGTTTTTCAATTTCACTTCAAAGGTTTTCTTAACACCTTACAAGCATCTGATGGCTCAATCACAGGGCCGATTTGCGCTGTACGTATAAGAATCGGCGTAATTCTGCGGAGGATGTACACAGGTGTTTGCGATCAGCCATGGCCCACAGCCTGTACAGATCATTGTCATGGCTGTTTGCCGTGACCACACTTCTTTGCAGTCACATGCAACTAGGGGCAGATGAGTGTCCCTGGATGCAGACAGGTAGTGCGCATGCAGTGTGCACAGACTAATAAGCATATGGTGGACAATCAGACTTTCCTGGTTGTGGAGACCCGGCAGACACTGATAAATGGTAATGTAACGATGAAGGCTTGTTCACACCATCTCCAGACCAGATCTGGATGCATTTCTGCACATGCGTTTATGCGTGGTTTTGATGTGTTTTTTATGCATTCTGGTGTGCTTTGGTGTTGCAGTCCAAAAACAAAACATGCTGCTGCATTTTTTTTTTAAAAGGTCTGGAACTGAACGCAGTGGTGTGAGCTGGCCTCTAGGGATGTCCCGATACCAATACTAGAATCAGGGCCGATACCAGGTCTTTTGACGAGTACCTGTACTTGTGAAAATGCCCAGATTCTTGTGGCTGATACTGGCCCTATACATTTTTTAAACTGCAGCGGCTGCTGAGTTCCCGAGCTTGTGGGGACCTCGGCAGCCTGCTGGGGACCTGGCAATAGCTTTCCTTGGCAGTGCCTGTCCGGATCTTTATCTCCTCCTCCTTTCCAGGTCAGGCACAGCCATGGACAGCCCTACACAGCACAGTACAGCCCCAGAAACAGCACCCACCCATTCAACTCTCCACAGCATAGCCACAGCCCACAGAGCCCTGCAGAGATGAGAGGTGTGAAACTGCCCTAAAATCATCACTTGGGAAAGTACTTGAACTTGGTCTTGAAAAAGTGGTATCGGCATATCCCTACTGGCCTCATTTAAACCATTGGAATTACTGTGTGTGCACTTTTGGTGCGGATAAACAATGCCCCGGTCTGGAGTTGGTGTGAAGGAGCCTTTGGTGACGCAGAACGGAAGTGATGTTTGGACAGGCTGGGAACAGCTGGATAATGGAGTAAGATAGTGTCACAACATGGAAAGTCTGACAGTGTACCGGATGCCTGCTGGTCTGAGAATGCTGCATGTGCACAGCCTGTTGTGTGTTGGATTTGGTTTTAATAAAGCATTTTATACAGTTTTACGCTATGTGCCACTTCATGTTTGTTATTGTGATAGACTAGGAGGGTTCAAGAACATTGTGCAACGGGACCCCGAGAAAACTCCTGACCCGAATATTTGGGAAGAAGCTTCTCAGTCCTTGCAGTTTGTTAGTATAGGTCCACTATAACAAGGAAGTCTATGTCCACTGGAGAGGGAAGACTCACTGGATAGATCTTACACAATCAGAGCTTGTGTTGAGATGTGCTATAAGGACTTATTAGTGTAAAAACTATTTAAAGCCTATCTCTGAGTAAAAAAGCAAAAACTATTCATGCAGTGGGTCTCCTCCTGCATTACTGGGGTTGGGTGCTCATTTTTGTCTAGGGGTATGGTGTAAAGGACTTTTTGTTCTGATCCCAGCTTCCCCAGCAGTCAGCTTTCACCTACCCCCCTCCATGCTCCGGCTTGTGGACTGTCTCTCGGGGATCTCGCTTATAGCGCAGGGTTATTGGCCCTGCATTAGACTTGTTGACATCAGCGGGCCAATGACCTCCGGAAGGTGAAGGAATCTGTGGGTGGCAGTGCAGGAATAGCCCCATTGCAAGGGCAGTTTTTTTTTAAAATCTAGGCTTCATGCACTGTGTTGTTTTGTCAGGGAAATCCCATTTCACTGCGTTTTTTGTTGGTGTTTTTGCACCTTTTGGATTTAACATTATTATTATATAGGATTTATATAGCGCCAACAGTTTGCGCAGCGCTTTACAATATAGGGAAGACATTATAATTACAATACAATTCAAGACAAGATGGTAAGGAGGGCCCTGCCCGTGAGGGCTTAGGCCCCATTCACACGGGAATCGGCCAGCACGTACAGCTCCGTGCTGCGTGCACGACTGTATCGGGCAGCTCCCGGGAAGGACAGGTGTGAATGGGCCCTAGGGTACTAAACGCCTTTAGAAGCTACATTCACACTAGCACTCCTGCATTTAGGTTCTCAAAACTCAGGAGAAATGATCTTGGAAGTATAAACAAAGTTTATGCTTTCCAGATCACTTCTGCATTTAGATGTACTTGGCTTTAAGCAGAACTCCGGGCACTCCTGGAGCGTCTCCCCCACCTCTGCTAAACAGTGAATTTGAACTTTAGGACATGAGGACGCAGAGGGACATTCCATTGCTGCATTGTAGAAGACAGGGTGGAGGGAGCTTTGTTACAAGCAGCCTGATCCGAGGATTGAGTATAACTTTTTTTTTTTAAACCTAGGCAAAAATGATCAGTTAACCGTTGCGGTGCAAGGGGAGCCCCACTGCAAGGGTTAATAAAATATTTTTCTTTAATCAGGTTCAGCTGTATTTATGTGCATTTGCATGCATTTTGCCCATTTAGGGCCCATTCACACCTAACACATGCTATCACACAACGCACCTAGCATGT